TATATATATGTGTGTGTGTGTGTGTGTGTGTGTGTATATATATAATGTTTTTTTTCTTTCGTTTTTTTTCCCCTTCACATGCACTGTACAGTGTTTGGAGGCATCATCATGTGTCTGAAGCGTTTGAGAGCAGGAGTCCAGTGAGTTTCATTCCAGAAGCAGCCGGTCTGGAGCTGAATGGCTGTAATTTCTCCGGAGGATTCATCAGTGTTGTCGTATTTAACAGCACTGTTGACTAGAGCGATGCTAATCAGTCTCTGAATGATCAGTGTTACGCTCGTTCCCGTGGATGTCAGAGCTAATTCTAATCATGCAGCTCTAATTTAGACAGCTGGATCAATGAGAGTCTCCAGACACCAGAGTCTCATTCGCAGCTCACATTGTGACTGGTGCTTTATTTCTGCTGAATATGGACTGTGTTTGAGCTGTCAGGGATGCATTGTGTGTGTGCGCATGTCCAGAGTCGGCTGTAGATGCAGATAAGAGCAAAGCACTCTGGGATATCAGCCTCAGCTCAGGCGTCTTATTTATTCATGCAGGTTGAAACATCAGTGGTGAAGGTCAGAGCGAACACGAGCACGGCACGTTACTCACATTCAATTACACAGAACACGCTGATCCCAGATCTGCTCCGGCGCTCGAGGAGGCTTTATTCATCAGATACAGCGTCAGACTCGATCTGCGGCATTAGAGACGCTCTCGAAGACTTGCTGAAAACATCTCTGATGAATGATCAAAGCTATAACACATTCACATTCTCCTGCTTTAACTTCAACATGACCGTTTACAGTCGCTTGTTTTTAACACCCAGAGATATCACATCCAAACTACAAAAAGCCATTCGTTTAAAAGAAATAATTCACCCAAAAACTAAACTGGATAAATAAACAAATATATGTGTGAGAAACAGTCCCAACTGAATTAATAGCATGATATAAAATAGAAATATTTAATTTTTATTTTAAATATATTTAAATGTTTTATTAAATAAATATAAATATTTTCCTTAATTTGTCTAGTGCTGTCCTGCATGCTTTTAAAATATTCATACTAAATATATTATACATAAAATATTAATAGTATAAAATATGCAATATACATTAATATAATATTAATAAAAAATCAATATGCTGTATTTTTGGTCACATGTATATTTATTTATCTCAAATATACATTTATAAAATAAATGCACAGATTATGTTGCTACACATGGCATGTAACCAAAATATTTACAAATATTAAAATTTTAGATTTAATGTTTACATTGCATTTTAAGATTTAGGTGTAAAAGACTTATGTTTAAGAAGAAGTGCATTATATCCATGTTCATAATATTAGCATTTTTGCATTAAAATTATAATT